TATTCATCATAGAACTCGCACAAACAAGAGTCACGTGCCGCCTGGTGGAGCGAAGACGCGCGGATCTGATTGGCCGCTGCTCGGTGACGTCACCGCGCCGTTCGCGGAAGTGGGGCAAAAGTCACAGCAAGACTTTCTCAGCAGAAACACTAACAACATGCCTCTTCTGAAGATGTCAGCGCCTTTGACTTTCGACGGCAGAGTCGTGCTGGTGACCGGAGCCGGGGGAGGTCAGTCTGTCACCGTAAACTCACGCGTTTATGCACAGAATGCAAATATGTTAATCCATTAATAGAGGGATGTAATGAGTGTTGCAGAAGTGTCATGCGTTAATGCATCACAGACGCTTTCTGAGCACCTGTATTATTTACATGTTGTTGTGCAAGTTAGGGTTGACGCATTAATATAGATGTTTTATATTTATCAACGTGCATTATTTTGCTCTGAATATTGAGCTCAAAGGCCTTTTTTAAGCACTTAAGCGTGTTGTTTGGCAGTGATGCAGCGTTTCTGTGTCGATCAAAGTTCAAACAGCAGATAAGAGTCAATGACTCTTTGCTCGTGATGGTGGGATTCAGTTTAGATAAGGCTGGCATGATGATAATCGTGTGTGTTTCGCAGGTTTGGGGAGGGAATATGCGCTGGCGTTCGGTCAGAGAGGAGCCGCTGTCATCGGTGAGTCGCTCTGTTCGGATCATTGATTCAGTTCAAGTGAGTCGCGACTCACGACTCGCTCTGTTCTTCACACAGTCAATGATCTGGGAGGAGATATTAAAGGAGGTGGCAGGAGCTCAGCAGCCGCTGATAAAGTGGTGGAGGAGATCAGAGCTAAAGGAGGCAAAGCCGTGGCTAATTACGGTCGGTGATGAATCATTCCAGCTCTGAAGCGCAGTAACATACCTGTGATTCACATGTGTGTCCATGATGATCTGGTTTCTTCACCTCACAGATTCAGTGGAAGACGGTGAGAAGCTCATCCAGACGGCGCTGGACGCATTTGGCCGAATAGGTGCCGTTTCCAGAAAAGTCTTAGCATTAAAAAAGCCACGAAACACACCAACCTGCTAAAAGTAGAATCGCAACATTACAAACCTGATTAACACTTTACTTTTACATTATACAAATCTTTTAATGCATTAATTACTCCTTGTAATGCACCTTATAATGCATTTTATGATCTGATGAATAATTGTAACCATAGTTATAATACTGATCTATCCGTTATTACACCTTTAGAAAGTATGACGCATTAAAACACAAGACAATGTAAGATAATGCACAATTATGAAAAGATATAATGCATTACAGCGTACATTACGCACACCTTAATAATGCATTATGCGTAAAAGGTTTTAGGTGGGACTTAACCCAAACACTGATTCAAAGTAAAAAAGCATTTGAAAGTTGTACTAAAACACATGACTGTGACAGCTTTGGAAAGAACTACATTCCTATGATGCATTGCGAATGACAATCAAATTAATGGCAAAACATAAAACCATTCATTTGAAGTTGTTGATTGTATCTGTTGAAAGAACATGTTTTACGTTTGTTGT